AACGCACAGAACCAAAAAAGCACATCATTCCTTTTCCTTGTCGATTCGAATCCTAGCATGTGTGGTGGCTCCGTGGCTTAGCTGGTTAAAGCGCCTGTCTAGTAAACAGGAGATCCTGGGTTCGAATCCCAGCGGGGCCTTTTGAGGTTTCTTTCTTGCTCCAAATGAAAAGATGGGTGGTCAAATTAAGATCCTTGGGGTGAATTTTCACCAGGAAAATACCGTGAGTGTTTTATGTGGCAATGAGCGTGAGGACTCATCGTTTTACAGATAAAAAATTAATTCTCTCAGAAGAAAACTTTTGTTGCTTTCTTATTCCACATGTGATTGCCACCTCACTACCCAACTCCCCACCTTAACCCCCCCTCCCTTCCCACCCACACGTATCCCACCCCGGTATAAAAGAAATCAGGGAGAACAGAAAATAGGTACCCGCACTGGCCAAAATGAAGTTACAAGCAGTATTAGGGTGTTTGGTGGGTCTATTCTCTGTCCCGGTGCATCCCAAACAGATGCACTCCACAATCTGTGGGCAAGATTTTTCAGAAAGGTCAGCCTCTGAAATGACTGACAAATGATGAGTCATTGCACCTTCTCAATTCATAGCAGTTACTAAAATCCAACCATACATGCAAGTTATAATTAACAAGTGAAAAAGATAGTCTTGGGCGCAGAGATTTCTGAGTAAGAACATCTAAGAGGCAACAAGTATTTATTACCATGACTTCAGAAAGAAACTGTGAGGGACAAAAGTCCCTCTGCTTGTCTGTTCCAGAGAGCAAGGTCTATTAGTATAGGCTGTCACTGATAGCAGCCAAACGGATTTGAGGAAGAGTTAGAAGGGCTGAGGTGCCTTTCCTAAACTTTCCAAGGAGGAAGAGGAAACTGAAAGTGTTGAAGTCCGTTGTTTGTCTCTTAGCTGGCCTTTGAAACACATCAGTGTGCCAGGAAAAATAAATGAACATTCTCTGTGCCTCTTGTCAATCTTCTGTCTGGGGCCCTAGATTCTGACCAACTACCTGTTGCAGAAAGTTCTCTCAGCCTGGTTTCTTCAGAGGTCATTATTTTGTGTAGATGGTCAAGGGTTGAAATCCCAGATCTTTAAGTTCAAGATTAACTTTAGCTTCTAGGAGGCTGAATTCCTTTTTGTTTGTTTGTTTGTAGGCTCTGGGTCTCAATGGAAATGCAGACCTTCTCTTTCACTATATCTTTCTAGCTTCTGCTCAATTTTTTTCCCTAGGCCCAGAGACCTGCCTCTATGGGTGAGGCTGGTTAGGTCACTGCTCAAATTAGTCCGTTATATCATCTGTTGCCAAAAGTACCATAACTCCAATCTTCCTGCTGCAGCAGACACCAGAAATACTTTAGAGGGAGCTTTCTAGAAAGTGGCCCTTCCCTGTTTGTCTGATCTGTCCCTCTGAGGCAGTCAGACTAGCTCGTGAAGTGATAGAATATTACAGTTGAGGAGACTTAGAAATCTAATATATCTTTAGAAACCTAAATGTCTTTTCAGAGGATGATAGCAGTGGCATTTTATTTGCAAGTTGGGGATGACACTAGGTCTCTCATGGGTTGACTGAGGTTCTGTTATGAGGTGATTGAGCTAGACGGAAATCTGTCTACTGTTGGATCTCCAGAGACCAGCACAGGCTCCAACAAATAGCAAATGCATAATTACAATAAATAATACCTTTTATCAGAAACATCTATTCTTTTCCACACCTTTGCTGGGTGTTTGTTATGTGCCAAATCTGTAATTCTCAAAAAGTGCTAAGTAGATAAAATGAAATTATGCTCTCCATTTTGAAGTGGAAGACTCAAAGGTACAAGGAAATAGTCATTTGCCTACTTGGGCAGAATGGGGAGTGAGCCCCAGTTACCTAAATCACTTTGCATCGGTACTTGTATTTCCAAGCATCGCTAGGTCGTTCTGAGAGTCTAGGGATCACACCGATTTTCCATTTCCCTCTTGGTGTAGACTACCAGAGCTCAAGTGGAGATTTCAATTGGGCAGAAACAGAATGATGATGGGACCTCTTGGGCGATAAAAGGAAACCTCCTTTGATTCTTCTTTTTCAGCTGTGCGTGGTGACAATCTTCCTAAAACAAACATTTCTTAACATGTCATCTCGTGGAGAATAACAAAGACCTTTGTAGGTCAAGATGTGGCTTATAGAATAGCACTGTAACACTGTCCTCCCGTTGTTCATCAATTTGCTCGAGCAGGCACCAGTAATGTCTCCATCGTGAGACTTGTTGTTACTGTTTTTGGCCTACAGAGTGAAATCTAAAAACCGTGGTTGAAAGGAATAAAAGGAAAATAGAATGAGACATCTGATGTGGAGCCATCTGAGTAAATGAAAAAGAAACTTTCACTCAAAATTTACATGTTCTACAGTATCATAGGGAAGAGAAAGGATGCCCTTTTCCACTGGTTTCTCATGGGGGTAGATTAAGAGAAAGGAGATATCAATGGAAGGAAATGAATGTATTTTCCCTTTTAAAAAAAAAAAAACACAAAAAACAAAAAGCCATCATTCCTCCAAGGGAATGCAACAGAAAATAGGACTTTCCAGATCTTAACAAGCAAAAGAAGCTTACTGTCAGGAGTGGGATTCGAACCCACGCCTCCAGGGGAGACTGCGACCTGAACGCAGCGCCTTAGACCGCTCGGCCATCCTGACTTGCTGAGAGCGCTGGTTGCTCTAAACTTATTTCTAGGGTCTACCTCAACGCGACTTCCACCTTTCCCTTCTTTCTTCTTTTCTAGCTGAGAACCTTCGGCTAAAAAGCGAAACCGTCGGCTTGCAGACCTTTCGGTTCGCCGACCTTGGTGGCCCGCGCGGCCGGACATAGAAGCGTCACCCGGGGGACCTCGGATCCCGTTCCCGCTGCAGGTTCGGAGCCAGGAAGTGCTTCCCGGGAATAGTGCTCTTTTGCAGTTTAATCGCTACAAACGGAGGGTTTTGTGGGTTACTCTGCACGAAACGGCCGTTTCTGTTTTGGCCACCTAGGTCGTTCTAGGGAACACCTGGCACCAGCCACGTTTTCGGCAATGACTTAAAGATCAGATGGAACCGTCAGGTTTTGTCGCCACGTTTCAAACGCTGCTCCGGTGCCTGCAGGGTTTCAGATGCCAAATGTGTCCTCTGTCGTCCCAGAAAACGCTTTCTTAGGCCCCTTCCGGGGTCACCCTGAGTCCGGCGTCCGAGTCGTCCCGCCTCAACTTGAGGATCACGTTACGCCCGGGAAGCCAATGAGAGGCGAGTTCTCGCCCGCGCCCCGACCGGACCCCCAAAAACTCGGGGTCCTGCAGGGGACTGTGTTTGTTAAGTTTGCCCCTTTCCCTTAGGTGACTCGACTGTGCATCCAGACTCAAATCATTGTTTTAGGGTTTAGTTGTGTTATTATTATCATTATTATTATTATTATTGTTTAGTTGTGGTATTATTATTATTATTATTATTATTATTATTGCACTGTAGCACTGTCCTCCCGTTGTTCATTATTATTATTATTAAATTTAGGCTCCAGGTGGTTACTCCTGTCTCTGTGCTCATCTATGGGGCGGAGGATCCATGTGCAAGGCCAGCCTCTGACCTGCTGGACTATCTTTTCAGCCGTGTTGGCTCCTGTGTCTATGGGGACGTCTGAAGTTGAATTTCGTTCTCCTGCTGCTGTTATCATGCCCGAGGGCCCAGAGCTACAGAACCGTGCTGCTTTGGCCAGCTGCTGTCCCGGTGGGTTTCTCTGCTGTGATTTTTGCATCAGTTCCCCTTGGGTGAAGCAGAGCAGGCGGTGAGTGCGGCTTTCAGCAATCGGATTTATTAGGTTAAGAGTATGAGCAACCTCGACTCCAGAAACGGGGAAAACGTACAGTGGACACCGAGGTGTGAGCCTGGCTCGTGGCAACCCACCCGCAACACAAGCCTCGGCTGCTTCCAGGGAAATGTAAGTACCAGCAGGTGCGGTCAGTTGAGCAAGGGGAGCACATTAGGGGTGTGGGGGGGAAGAGGGGGATCGGAGGAGCACCCCCGGGGAACAGTCAGGGGCTGACGCTTGTGGAAACTGAACAGCAGTTAAAGTCAATGCAGGCATAGTTGGGTTCCTACTTTGGGGCAGAAAGTCTCCCATCCGACTTGGGGCATATGGGGGGACGTGGTGGCCAGAGAAAAGGGGTGCGGCCTCTGAGGGAGGATTCCTGGACTCATTCCTGAAGAGGAGACTCAAAGTCAGAAGGAAGAAAACAGCTGGAAACTTGGGGCATCTAGAGATTCTCAAGCAAGGGAGGAGGGGGACACAGAGAGGGGATCAGGGCCTAAGGCCACAGCTGCGCACGCCACCTTTGAACTCTGTCTAAATTCTCTCCTCTTTCCCACTAGTCTGACATCCTCATTTCCGCTCTTCTCTGAACCTCCCGGGCCAATTGCTGTGACCCCACAGAATAGGGCCCAGTGCTTTTAACCCATGGGGCGTGACTGGGGAAATTGGAACTGTAGGCCCTAGAGGTCTAAAAGCCTCAAGGGCAGCTAGTCATCATGTCCTCGCATCACCGCCCTTCTTTCTACCATGCAGTTCCCTTCAGGCGCCTTGATAGATCTTGATAGATTTCAGCCTCGATTTCCCCCTTCCCAGAATCCCCTGCGTCTTCTGCGGGGCCTCAAACCCGTTCCTCTCTGTATCCCGGCTCTAGCTACAGGTGCTTCTACCAGCAACACTCCGCTCCAACCGAACACCCTTTCCAACCCAGCTGTCCTTTGGGTTGGTTTCAAGTCTCTCCCTAGAGGTTTTGGCTTCAAAGAATAGGAAAATACTCGTAGTTATGTAAGGGTCCCTGAGCATTGGCACAGGAACAGGTCAGGTGGGCCTTCTACGCCACACTCTGGAGCCACAGTGACACAACCTTCTCAAGATGAATTCCCACCCGAGGCAAGAAGCAGAGTTTAAGGTGCAGCAACAGAGGAAGGGGTAGAATAGGAGGAAACCAGAACTGGGACTCCTTAAGAGGACGCTTGGCCGGGTTGGGTGGGAATTAGTTTAGAGTGGGGGGTGTCTGCATCCCCAGTGGCGGAATCGTCGCCCATGGGGGACAGTGGGATCTCCTTAGACGCGTCCTTGGCATCAGCAAGAACTGTCACCCCGTCAGGTCCGTCTGTGACGGGGCAGATAGACAGGGGCCTTTTCCCACAGGTCCACAAGCAGAAGAAGGGCCGGAGGGGCCCAGAGAAGGTGGTCTTGGGGAAAGAGTAGATGAGGGACCCGTCCGTCATGTTGTAGAAGGAGACGTCTCCTGACTCATAGTCCAGGAAAATTCCCACCCGGTGGGGGGGTCCCGGCAATGGGAGAGGGGTTCGGAGTGAGGTTAGGGCCCAGTAGCCGTTCCCATACAACTCCACAGCCCAGAACCCGTTTTCGGGAGTCATGGGGTCAAAACCTTTCTTCATCACATTCTCCTTGCACACCCCGATCGCCCAGTCGGTCCTGTCCCCCACTTCCACCTCCCAGTAATGTTTCCCTGAGGTGAAGGTCTCCCGGCCCAGCACGCAAGGCCAGGAATCAAATCTCTCTGGTTTCTCAAGAGCTTTCTGACGTGAATCCTCCAGTCGGACAGATTTGGAGTCCTCGTACAGGAAGAGGTGCGGGTGGGCTGTGTCCGGGTCCAGAGTCACATCGACTAGAGACAGAGAGAGCAGATCATGAATGTCTCTGAGTGTTGACGGTTATGCCATCTGTTCTTCAAAGACATAGAGAGCACTGTTCCAGAATTTGATGGGGTGGGGTGTGTGTTTGGGGGGTGGGGGAGATGTTGGCCTGCTTGGCTGCTTTTATTTCTCCCATCAAGATCCACAGGCTAGGGGCCAGAGTGATGGTACAGTGGGGTAGGGCGTTTGTGCCTTGCATGTGGCCGACCCAGGTTCAATCCCCAGCATCCTATTTGGTCCCCAGCACTGCCAGGAGTGATTCCTGAGTAAACCCTGAGCATCGCCAGGTGTGACTCAAAAAGACTAATGTATGACCTAACTGTCCCAGTTCCAATGGGGCCCTCAGAGAGATGACTGTCCTGACCATCTTCCGGGGGTCATCAATGTGCCTTAAGGAAGATATTGGGCAGATACTGGGCCATTTGCCTTCATCCTTCCCTCTCTAGTCTCATCACTCAGTGGGTTTTTATTTCCAAGTGTTGTAGGACTTTAAATCCCTGGGGTGGGTGAGCGGTGTGGTAAGCCTTGGAATGTTGGAGAAGTTCACCAACACTCACCTGCATGCAATGAGGCCTTCTTCCATTCTGCAATGAAAGAGAGACAGAGAGAGTCACGATGAGCCTTATATAATAACAGAGAGAAAACCTTATGAGGGAAATAAGAACAAGAAGTTAGAACTTACTGAGATCCTCCAGGAGTTTCTCTGGAAAGCAAAGAGAAACACCTTAGTGACTTTCTGTCATGGGTCACACACAGTATCAAAGAGAACTTGTTGAATTCATGGCTACCGGGTTACTTAAATGTTATCAGTAAATGAAGAACAAGGATATTTCTTTGGTTTGGTTTCTAAGAAAGATACAGGAAGTTCCTACTGGCCTGGGACCAGATCTTTTCTAATCATTACTGGGAAATGGAGTTAGAAGTGACAACAGCATCTGAGTACAAGTGGGGAGTGAACATTGGGTCTCATATCTTACTTAGAATTGGCTTTTATGCCTCCTTTACCCCATGCCCCTGTTTTATTCTTATTGGGCATCAGCAACATTGGGAGTCTGATCACTCCTTCTGAATTCCAATTCTAGAATCAGACACCTCCCCATTGACCGTCTTCCCAAAAGACTGGGATCTAAGCCCTCTTGGAAGTGGGTTTAGATAAATAATGGCTTGGGATTCTGTGACTTACCTTTAGAGCTAAATTTTTCCTTCCTTTCTCTGCGTCTTTCCTTGTAGAGTTTCCAAGTGAAAAATATGGAGGCGATGGAAAGAAGTCCAAGAACAGTCACGACTACAATTGTGACCACCATCCAGGGAGTCAGCCTTGGGAATAAGGGAGCTAAAACAAAGACCCCCAAAACAACATGTGTTAAGAGGCCCTGAGCAAGCCTAGCTCTTCTCCTAATTCCAAGGGGGATTGGGAAACGGGTGACCGACACTGCTCCCAATCCTCCTTGAGAAGGTAAAAAGCATCACCCCGCCCAGAGCCATTCTAAACTTTCCAGAAAAGAATTTTTCTCTTGAGCAAAAGGGAACACCCTGCCACAGAGGCGGCGTAGGGTGGAGGGGACGAGGTGGGGGTGGTGGGAGGGATGCTGGGACCATTGGTGGTAGGAAATGGGCACTGGTGGAGGGATGGGTACTCGATCATTGTATGACTGCAACGCAAGCATGAAAGTTTGTAAGTCTGTAACTGTACCTCACGGTGATTCATTCACTAATTAAAAAAGAAATCTCTCTTAGGTGGAGGAGCAGAGAATGAGAGGAATGAAAATGAAGAAGAGTCTTTTGGGAGGCAGGACCTGGGACATAAAGAATATAATGGACCAATGCCTGTCAATTGGGAAGTTTCTCCTGAACGCTCAATGCCACATGGGAAGCAAGAGGATGATGGAGGTGAACAAGGAAGCAAATAGGTCACTCCGTGTGTAATAGAATGAGACTCAGTGACCCCCAAATAAGTCAGTGTTCCTGTCTGAACCTTCAGGATTGTCAGGGGAATGATGAGTGTGTTTCCTGGCAGATCCTGAAACCTAGTCAGTTCTAGAGTGGAAAGGGAAGGAGAGAGGGGCCAAAGGTAGAAGCAATAACAGCAGAACAAGAATTTAGTCTTCTTATTTACTCCAGGGAAAAATGCTCTGCATAAAGAAGACCCCCCCCCCCCCCCGCCCCGGGATACAACTTATCTATCATTAGGAGCACTGTAGCACTATTCTCCCGTTGTTCATCAATTTGCTTGAGCGGGCACCAGTAACATCTCACAAGAAATTGTGAGACTTGTTGTTACTGTTCTGGGCATATCGAATATGTCACGGGGAGCTTGCCAGGCTTTGCCATTTGGGCAAGATACTCTTGGTAGATTTCGTGGCTCTCTGAGGGGGCGGAGGAATCGAACCCGGATCGGCCTCGTGCAAGGCAAACGCCCTACCCGCTGTGCTATTGCTTCAGCCCATCTAATTTGTAACGTGATAAATATGACATTTCTGTGTGGTAGTATGTGTGGCTTCAGAATCCTTACAGTGGGACTGGAGCGATAGTACGGTGGGGAGGGCCTTTGCCTTGCACGTGGTCTACCCTGGTTTCATCCCCAGCATTCCATAGGGTCCCCTGAGCACTGCCAGAGGTAATCCCTTAGTGCAGAGCCAGGAGTAACCCCTGAGCATTGCTGGTTATGACCCCCCAAAAAAATCCAAAATCCTTACAGTGAAGTTGCTGGGGCTCCCTGAGGTCATTGGGCAGGATGGTATGTGGGAAACTGGACATATGTGCCATGAGGTAACAGGTGGGTCGGTGTTTCAGGTGGTGTGACCTGAAGCCGGGCCAGCACAGGAACCCAGCACCAATTTCACTGACCCGGTATGGAAATCTCGACTTCCTTTTCCTGGCCAAGAAGGGGGTTCTGGATGCTGCACGACACATTCCCTGGAGTGGCGTTCTTGATGGTCACTGAAGCTGCCACAGTGAACAGGCCTTCTTCATCAGGAGTCCTGGATTCTGCCGTGGATGGAAACTTCTGTCCCCCGGAAGTTCTCCACTGCACCTGCGGCTCCGGGTACCATCCCTCTGAGGTACACTTCAGCCGGATCTCTCCGCTCTCTTGGACTTCCATGTGGACATGCGGATCAGTGCCCAGAGCTATGGAGAGAGAAGCCAGCCTTACACCTTGGTGGACATGCTCCTGAGAGCCTTATCATCCTAGGGTCGTGGAATTGGAGAAACAGAGGCACAAGGAGGCTGGGATGAGGAAGACCCACCCCCATATTGCCTCACCTACAGAAACAGGATATTGGGAAAAGAGAGATAATCCAGTGGGTAAGGTGCTTGCCTTGAGCGCAGATGACCAGGCTTCAATCCCCAGCACCCCATATGGTCACCCTGAGTCCCACCAGGAGTGATCTCAGAGTCAGGAGTAAACCCCAGCAGCACTGGATGTGACCCCAAAACCAAAACCACCACCACAAAAAAAAAAAAGAAAAAAAACTAAGAAAAAGACTTGCTTAAGGCCATTGACTTCTAAGAAAGCCAGGTCTGGGCTCCCTTTCCTTCTGAAAGTTGCTGCTATTACTGGTCCTTCCAGAACTTTGGCATGAAGCCAAATGGAAACAAACACCAAGCCTATTCTAAGTGGACCAAGAATGCAAAGGAGTGCTCACTTCGGAAGCACATACACTGAAATTGGAAGGTTCCAGAGAAGGTTAACATGGCCCCGGCACAAAAATGACATGAACATCTGTGAAATATTCCATCTGAGGGGGCTGGAGCAATAACACAGGGGCTAGGGTGTTTGCAGTCGACGAGGGTTTGATTCCCAGCATCCCATATGGTCCCCCGAGCACCGCCAGGAGTAATTTCTGAGTGCAGAGCCAGGCCTGTGCATCGCCGGGTGTGACCCAAAGAGGAAAAAAAAAAAAGATCCATTTGATGCTAAGGAGCAAACATGCCCTACGATCTTAAGGAATCGGCCAGCTTCCAACTCAGCCTCACGGGAAGGGGAAAACCAGTCACAGTTTACAATTTACACGCTCAACTCTGGAACTTCACTCTGCAAGTACAAAAGAATGGACAGCCACAGCGGTACTTTCACTTCATGAACACTAGTAGGGACAAGCTTGCCCCTAACTGCAGGGCCAGGCGGGAGAGGCGAGAAGGCATGTTCCCTAGGAATGACTATCTGCTGCCCTCCAGTCATACTCCTTTCAAACCATTTCCCAGGCATCTCGCACACCTTCTAAACCAAAAGGGACAAGGGCAGAAGGCATCTGATGGTTTCCCCAGAAACAGAGCCAGGGTGAGGAATGAGGGACCTCTTGGGTGTCACGGGAGAGCCTCAAATCATTCTACTCACAGGCCACCTGCAGCTGCACCACCGCCTCCTCGAAGTCTTCCTTCTCCCTGAAGAAGCACCGGTACTCCCCGGCATCCTTGGCCGTGACCCCGTGGATCCTGACCGCCACGTGGCCCTGGTTGATGTTGTACGGCACCAGCGTGGCTCTGCCTCGGTACTCGGCCATCTGCTCCCGGTCCTGCAGCTGCCCGTCCCGATGCACCAACACCGCCTCCGAGACCTTCTTCCGGAACCAGCGCAGTTCCATGTTTCTGGCACTCACGTTTGGGGACAGGTGGCACGGCAGCTCGACGTCTTCGCCCACCATGGCCAGGATGGGCTCCTTGGGTCCCACCACATCAAAGTGAGCTGCTAACACATGGGGGTGGGGGTGGGGCAGATGTGGCCAGGGGAGTGGAGTGTGGACAGGGACCCCACCCGCAGAGGACAGAGTGGTCGCCCTCTTTTTCTCTTCCTAGGACAGCAGGAAGAGAGTGGGGGACTCTAGAAGAGGTCCAGTGGGAGAACCCAATCGGGATGTTTGCATTAACTGAGTGATTTCAATCCCTGTAGGCCAGAGACAGACAGAAGGAACTTACCAGAATCCAGCCCGGGCAGCTGAAGGAGGATGAGGGTGAGGAGACATGTGGGGAGACAGAAGTTCGTCATCTTCATCTGCCTGCCCCAAGATACTGACGGGGTCCGAGCACTCCAGCCTAGCAGAAGAATGGATAGGAGAGAACTGGATTCCCTGAATTGTTCCCCAAGTTCTCTCAACTGTTCTGTCCAGTGTGTGCTGGGTTTCTGCACCCGAACTTCCCCCTCTGCCTCCTCCTATGCTCAGATTTCCCTCCAGCTACGCACTATCGGCACCTCCTAGCACGCATGAGAATACATTTGGTTGATATGAACAAAATTGGCCCCCAAGTCACAAAAGAAACTGGAAAGAAGGGAGTTGGGAAGCGTATTACTACTATTAGCGAGCTGCACATTGGAGACACAGCTTAGAAACTACCCCCATTAAAAGCAGTTTTGGGGGAAGCTTTGAGGGGGTGTCACACCTGGCTTGCTCAGGGCTTACTCCTGGCTCTGTGCTCAGGGATAACTCCTGTGGGGCTCAAGGGCCCCCAGGGTTGTGCCAGAGATCAAACCCCGGTCAGCAGCATGCAAGGAAGACAAGCACCTGTACCCACTATAATATCTTCCCCGCCTCAGAAAGAAATAAAGTAATCTTCTTTCAAAGATAAGTCATTGGCATTTGCTTTGAACAATCATAAACAAGATAAAGCAATGGAAACAGAAGTGGCCGTCAGCGCATGAGCTGAAGGAGAGAGATGGAACAAGAGAAAGGTCTGAAGTTCAGAGACAGGGAGCAAGAAAGGGGTCTGGAGAGAGCTGAAGGGTTTGCAAAACAGAAGGCCTGGCATTGGGAGCAGGGGTCCCGGGAGAAAGCTCACAGTGTTGTCTGGCAGTTCCCTCCCGGGGCTGAGCATCGGCAGGCACACTGACCTTTGTTCTTGGAGGACGAGGCGCCCAGGAGCCCCTGCTACCAAGTGAGAAAGCTGCTGGTGGCCCCAGGGGCAAAAGTTAAACCCAGAGAAGGAAGGAGGAAGAGCTCTCCGAAAGCCTGCCCCCAGCTCCCTCATGCAGCCACCGGTTTGAGAAGGTTTCCCAGAGAGGCCTGTCACTTGGTGGCCTTAGCTTCAGATCACGCTCCTCATCAGTCAAAAGGGACCAAGCCCAAAAGGAAACTGCTCGAGAGAAGACTGGCATAACCTAGGGGCAGGTCATCCACCTCTCAGACGCCTCAGTCTGACTCCAAAACGGGAGTAACTACATACAAGCAAAACCATGAAGAGTCAATGCAGGGGAAGCATGTGACTAGAACTATCGTGGGAAAATTGAAAATGAAAATGAGTTTGGGGGGCTGGAGTGATAGCACAGCGGGTAGGGCGTTTGCCTTGCACGCGGCCGACCTGGGTTCGATTCCCACCATCCCATATGGTCCCCCGAGCACCGCCAGGAGTAATTCCTGAGTGCATGAGCCAGGAATAACCCCTGTGCATCGCCGGGTGTGACCCAAAAAGCAAAAATAAATAAATTTAAAAAATAATAATAATGATAAAAAGAAAATGAGTTTGCTGAGGAGGCGGATGAGGAGAGGGAGGGAACCTTAGCCTTTGGTGGATGGATGTTGCCATTGGCACTGGGTTTGGAGCTGGAATGCTGAATGACCGAAGGAAGCTCTGTTCTCAACAGCTTTGTGTATTATAGTACCTAACGAAATGGATAAGATCAAATCAGATGGAGTCTTGTTAATTATATTTTCTTTAGAGATGTGCTGTCACTGTCACTGTCCTCCCATTGTTCATCGATTTGTTCATGCTTGAGTGGGCCCAGTAACATCTATTAAATGAGATTGAACATGACCAGAACTTAGAGTATCATAGGGATTTAGAAGAGAAAAAACTGGATTTAGTTTGCACTTCTAGGGGTTAGAAAACAAAACAAAACAAATATCAGACAGGGAGTCTGGGAATGCGTATAAAGGTTTTGAGGGCCTCGAAGCTGCTTCCCTGTCAGAACTCCACCCACAAAAACAGTTCATTAGATCTGTAGTCTGTTATTTTGGGGCTACCTTTTTATTGTTATGGGAAAATGTGTTGGCTTTTTTGCTTTTTTGTTTTTGCTTTTTGGGTCACACCCAGCGGTGCCTAGGAGTTACTCCTGGCTTTGCACTCAGGAATTATTCCCCTGGCGGTGCTCAGCGATGCTGGGAATCGAACCCCGGTCGGCCGCGTGCAAGGCAAATGCCTTACCTGCTGTACTATTGCTCCAGCCTCAATGTTTCTAAAATAGAAAGAAACATTTTTGAGAACTAGAAATCACCTATAAAGTCATCAGCAATTGTTACCATCTATTCACATTTTAGCAGAGTTCTTCCAGTTTTTACTCTGTGTTTATATACACCAGGAACAGAGATAGTGCAATGAGTTGAACACAGGCTTTCCATGCAGAAGACCTGGGTTCATCCCTGGCACCTCTTGTTTCCGCAAGTATCGCCTGGAAAAAACCAGAAGCACAGAGCTGTGAGTCTTGCCGTTATAAACAGCACACACTTTACACATAAGTCTTAGCCCACGTCGTTGATAATTTCCTGATAAGCATAGTCATCAAGTTAAAGGGTTGGAGTACATTGCCAATGTTTCTTCCTGGAATATTGAATTTATCACCCCATCAATGGAAATGTTCTCTCGCCGAATCCCTGCCAGCACTAAGAGTTACAGTCTCTCATTGTCACAACTAGAATAGAGGAAATTGACCAAATCATTGTCCTCCCCTGCATTTATATAAAAGTTCAGGCTAATCCTTTCTTTTATATACATATTAATCATTCAGTGTAGTTTCCTCACTAATAAATTACTCCTCATTTTTTGTCCCCTAGACAGATTCAGGTACTGTTTCTTAGCATTCTTATGAACTTCTTATTTATAAATTTAAATAGTCAACCCTTCATAACTATTGTGACAAAAGTCCTTTACTGCCCCCATTTTGTTCTTTACCTTTTTCTGGGACTATCATTAAGATCCACAAAAGGTCAACAATGCAGTCTACTCCAGACTGTTAAAAAAAAAATGGCTTTTCTCAAGTGCAAGCTTGATGGTGCTTTTGGCTTAAAATCTCTTGCATGTCACAGGACAGTGACCTCTGCACTCTGTTCAAATCCCTCAATCTGCTGAAGAAAACGCAGTAAGAATCTAGTGGTCTCGGGGGCTGGAGTGGGTAGGGCATTTGCCTTGGTCCCCTGAGCACCGCCAGGAGTAATTCCTGAGTGCAGAGCCAGAAGTAAACCCTGTGCATCGCTGGGTGTGACCCCCAAAAAAGCCAAAAAAAAAAAAGAATCTAGTGGTCTCTGCTTTCTTCGGCCCCTCCTCCCTCGCCATTGGCAGAATTTGGAGGCTTCCATTCACAGTCCTTTTAGGGTCTCCTGGTAGTAGAACTCTTCCTAGAAGAGTCTGTTTCCTCTTATCTGTAAGACAAATTCCTGTTCTTTTGGCCAAAGTGAGCAGACACCACCTCAAGTCCAGAGGTTCTTTTGGTACAGCTTCTCCAACTCACTGTCACCCCAGACTAGGGGTGCTGTAAGAAGAGGCCTCTAGTACTGCCTGATGCATATGAGAAACTGTCAAGTTTTGGGTTTTAGGATAAATGTAAAGTAATTAAGGCATTTGGGCTGGAGACATACAGGAGGGAAAGGCACTTGTCAAGCATGTGGCAATCCCAGTTCAATTCCGAACACCACATATGGTCCCCCACACTGCAGTGATTCCTGAGCAGACAGTCAGGTGTGCTCCTGTCAAAAAAAAAAGGGGGGCACTTAATATCACTATATGTGAGATAAGTTTGAATATGACCTTAGATAACCTTTGCCCTTCAAATGATATGATCTCTCCAGGAAGCTGGGAGGGGTATGTCCTGTGACTTGAACAACTTCCTGGTCCCTCTTTGCTGGCATATACTTGCTTGAGTCCTCCTTCCAGAAACAGGTATTTCTTTTCTGTCTTTTGTTTCCAGATCTATCGACCTCTCCTAAATGGAAGATTTTAGCTCCAGCTTCTTCCTCTTATAGAAACCAGAGTAGAATTTGTAGCTTCCATCAATGGTCGTTGGTCTTCCTATGTTGAAAACGCTTGTCACATTTCAGCTTTACTTCATCTCTAACTTTTGAAATACTTCTTCTGACTCCTACTCTGTCATTGGCAAAAAAAAAAGTCTCACAGGTAAAAGCAATCTTTTCGTGGAGAAACTTTATTTGTACCAAGAGAGTGGTGTGGAAAAAGAGAAGGGACAGAGAAACAAGAGCAAATGGTATATTGAGAGCGAGCCAGCATGGGAGACTCCCTCTCGCTCCTCATATATATAATTCTTAGAAATTCCTTCCCAGTTGGCAGTTGGTCTTCATCTCTCAGTCTAGGAGATGTTCTCAAGCTCTGTGTGTTTGACCTTGAACCAGCTTTAGTTATGAATGGAGGCAGGGAGAAGAAAACAAAAGTCCTCCGAGAACATAATAGTCTTTTTTTCTCTCTCTCTCTTTTTTTTTTTTTTTGTGGGGGAGGTCCCCACCCAGCAATGCTCAAGGGTTACTCCTGGCTCTGCACTCAGGAATTACTCCTGAAGGTGCTCAGGGGACCATATAGGATGCCAGGGATAGAACCCAGGTCTGCCACATGCAAGGCAAACACCCTCCCCACTGTGCTATTGCTCTGGCCCAGAATATGATAGTCTTAACATGGCCGAGGACTACTCTCTCCCTTAGAGCAAAGTCAGCCACAGGCCCTCTGGAAAGACTCTTCAAGATTATTGTACAGATGCTGGAAAAGGAGGAGAGCCTGACCACATCAAAGGAGATGCTGCCATCCTCCAAGAATCGCTTAACCACTGGGAGCATCTTGAGGGGTTTGGGACATGGCTCTCTGAGCAGCACCCATCCATCTCATTAACTCCCTTTCCCAACCATCCCTATTGAAAACTCTAACCTAAAAAGAAAAATAATTTTGTTCCTTTTTGACAAGAAGGCCATCATATTCTCAAGTTGCTAGCCTTGGATAAGCTTCATTTGATTCACATCAACTCTTGTCTCTTGAAGAGTTGGATTTCGAGTGGCAGGC